AAAGGCAGGACAGGAGTTTTGAGTAAACAAAAGGCAGGATGAGCAACTTGGCAAAAAAAAAGGCAGGATGACAATCTATGTAAAAAAAGTCAGGATGAACTAATAAAAAAAAAGACAGGACCATGGTAGCTCCCTAATCATTTAATTTATTTTAAATTTGGAGTGCCTTTTCTCTCTATTATGTTCATTTTGCTAGTCCGCTAATCGAGATTAAAAGGGGGTAACGTTGAGTTTTGAAAAAAAAATCGTATTCAACCCCACCTCGTGTCCATGTACTTGTCTCTCGTCAGGAACCTCGTCATTAGTTGTCCTATGAGTTTAATATTGAATGCAGAACTTCGATAGTTTCTGTTTAACTTATTCACATTTTTTTCGCAGTTTCTTTGATATATTACATTTTCCGTTTTCATTTGAATTTTTTGCTATTGGACGTTAAGCAAGCACAACCTATTTAGTCATATTAGAAAAAAGTCTATTGATATCGATGTTGTGTATTTTAAAAAAGTAAAAACAATATTACAAAGGAAGGGTTTCGATTCCGAATCTTTAAACCGGAGTTGTAGTGGAGTTTATCCATTTGTTGATAGCAACAACAAACAGGATGTAATTTAGAAGACTCACCTAAAAGATTAAATCAAAATTAAATTCACTAAGTAGAAAGCCACATGCGGGATGTTGACACAGTTTGACACGGGGTGGCTGCTCCGAAGCGAAGTGAAACGTAAGAAAAAGTATCAAATTTTCTTTTTTTTTAATAATTTTTATTTTTAGCACCAATTTATATAGTACACAGAAGGTACCTGTCCGTGTAACACTTATCAATTCAAAGTTTTAAAAAGTTTTCAAATTTTAGTTTTTTTGGAATTTTGATCAAAGTTTTAAAATATCAAAATTCCCAAATTTTTTAAAAAATTTGAAATTTTCACCAAATAATTAAAACTTTAAAATTCTAAAAATCATTTTAAAATTTGATAATTTAGATATTTGATCAAACTTTAAAAGTACTAAACTTAACGTGCAGTTTTGATTATTTCGCTTTTAGAAAGTTTTATTTTTTTTATTTTTTATTAAAATACAAAAATAGAAAAACGGGCGAAAAGAGACCATACGTATCATTATTGCGTTCGGGGTACATGTAAAGTGCGAAACGGAATAAAAGCGGAACGAAACGAACAAAACGAAAACTTTAAAGAAACGAAACAAAATGAAATGAACAGTAACTGTTACTTAAAAGTTAATGTATAAAATAAATCAAGAGGCAGACAGTTGTAAGCGGTGAAAAATTGAATAACAAAATGACCCATAATCTATTTCCAACAAGCAGAAGCAGACGTCCCTAGCTAAATGCTCTATTTTCTCAAACACTCTTCCTCAGTTTTCCGTGTCGCAGATTTTGAGACTTCAGATACAAGTTTCAAGATAAAATATACTATTCGGCGACCTTTTTCCGTATACTTTATAGGTTTCAGACCACCAATTAAATATCCCTATCTGTTCAACCAAATTTTGCAATTTTCACAGCTTTCTAATTATTTTACCTTAAGTTTAACTTCATAGAAACCATGTATATCCTGAATTGTACATGTATCAGCTTTCTGCATGCCAATTTTCAACATACCGTTAAAGCCGTCTAAGAAAAAAAACTGACCTTCAAAAAGAGGTACTTCAAAAATAACCCCTGGTTTTCTAGAAATCTTAAATTAGTATACTATGGAGCGCATTAATCCTCAATTTTTAATGCAAACTCATAGACAAGTAAATTTTGGCTCAAAATGGTCTAAATATATTTCTCTTTCACCAAAAGTTTCATTTCTGCAAATTTGTTGGTTAGTTTAAGTAAACAAGGACATCAAAAGCACTATTTTGTGTCAGAGTAGGGCTACTTTTACATACGTTCTAAATTGGAGGGAGTAATGGGTGGTCTGCCACCTTTATATAGAAATTAATTCATATCATAGAATAACAACCAAATTGGTTTTTAAGTTAACTGTTTCGTTTGAATTGCAATGTGTCGCACCGAGTTTCACATCTAAAGGGGCGAGTTATTCATTTAAATGAGGATATTTCAGCCTTTAGCATACCTACGTGTCTGGATTAGACAATAACCAAAGTTTTTTAAAAATCTAGTGGAACAAATATTTCAATTTTGAAGTGACAAAGTTCTGCTCTGATATTACAAATATATGATATCAAATAACGGGTTAGCATACAGACATCGTTTTCTTGTTTCATGGTCAGCAAGAATAAATACACATCTTTCTTTATTTACATGTACCTAATCCTTTACCTATTTTCAATATTTAGTACAGTCTTAGTACAATAATATAAAATTCGGAGAAAAATTAGGTCATATGGTTCCAGCTCGAGTGCGCCAGTACCATCGCAAGGACGAATCTGAAATTCTACCAACAAAACGTTTGGGAAAGGAAATTAAGGAGTTGGAAGATACATAAAATGAGAGTTTTAAGATTTTTACTTGTACAACTCATCCTAGCAATAATTCAATGTAAAAATAACAAAATGTATAAAAAACGTATTTAATTTCATTCAATGAATACTGATAAAAAAAATCTGTATGAATAAAATCAAAATGATAAATAAATAACACATGAATCCTACATACTTACATGTGCATATGCATGTATATCAGTGTAGCAGTCTTGAATAGGCAATTGTCAACTACAAAATTTCACTATCAAAAGATTTGGCCTAGTACTTTTATTATTATTGCTTATGAATATCATGTTGTTAGAACAGTGTTTTGAGAAAAAAATGAATTATACATGTTATCCGGTGTTTTAAAGTTGTTTAAATTTACTTTATGCGTAGTGCATTTTTACGATTATGGAGAAAAAAATATAACTCCCTTTCAATGCATTTTTATACCGTTTCTCTTATGATCGTGGCCTGTTATGTATACATTAGCATGTTTCTTGCATGAAGAGATATTTCTTGTATCACACTGCACGGAGTGTGATACGAAATGTGATACGAAAAACTTAATTTGATTATAAGAAAAATACCCAAATATGATAAATGACAGAAACTGAGAGGAAAAACGGAGATATGTAAAAAGAAGATGTGGTGATGTGGTATGATTGCCAATGACACAACTCTATACAATAGACCAAATGACACAAAAATAAACAACTAAAGGTCACCGTACGGCCTTCAACAATGAGCAAAGCCCATACCGCATAGTCAGCTATAAATTCATTTTTCAGAATTTATTTTCACATTGAAATTCCTTCAAGGCTTGTAATACTGGACACGAACTATTTTAATAAGAAATAAAATCTTACTATATGATGAGATAAATAAAATTTGCATATGTAAGATGTCTATTAATAATGTTCAACTCTATCAGGAGTTTCAAGAAATTTAAGGGAAAAAAACGAGTAAAGACTATGCAAAAACAGTCTAACTTTCGAAGCCTACTTCGATATTCTATATGACAAAAAAAGTGCTTCTTTTGTAGATTTAGAACATTGAACACAACATTTCCTATTGAAATTGATATACGGCAAAATAATCAAAGAGAATGTTCGGCAATATACAAAAGTAGACAAATGTTGTTAAAACAGGGGTTTGGTCCCCAAGGACGCCACATTTGAATTCGATAGAACTGTATTTTTTTTAACGTTTTAAAATGAAATAATATGAAGGAAATATTTCTCGACTTCGTGAAGATTTCTCAATTGGCTTCAATTATTACAAATAAAACGAAAAGTTTATTTAACATTTGTGCAAAAACAATATATGTAATAAAGAATTGAATTGAATTATTATTTTTTCAAGGAAACCATTTTTGTTTGTTTGTCAAGTTTACTTGTAGGTGTTTAATACCATGACTAATCACTCTTAATTATTAAAGATCAAACAACCAAATTAACATGATAATTGGTATTGAATATGATCATAGGTCATGCATTACATATCCCAAATAACGGAGCGTGCCGATAAAAAGCTTAAATAACTTCTCAAATATTGAATTGATTTTACCAAAACAAAAATTATAAGATCAAAAATTAAATTATCTTTCGAATGCATACTCTCAACGCTCACTAAAACATCTATTACATGTCCTGAGTGCACTCAGGAGGTCCTGAGCGGTTTTTAGACGTATCGATCAACAGATACAACAACTAGACTTGCATTACTTTTGTTGCAACCAGTGAAATGTAACAGTAGTAACACGTGGCTTACTTCGTAAAGAAATGTTAAAGAACGGCAATTTGGTGGCCATATTTTCTCCTCATTCAAAGCAAATGAAGTACCTTGTAGAATCAAATAAATATGGTCAAATTTGTCCTAGTACTTTCAAACAACAAGTCGAAAATATGACTTTCAAAAGGGTTTGTATGGTAATAAATGATCCAATTTCGTCATCTTTGTCACTCAATCATAATAATGAAAATAAAACTGTGATTTTATGTAAGGTTTCAATGGGAACTATGATTTTTTTTTATCTGAGTTTTGTGGTAATAAGTATTGTGTATAAGTTTCATATTATTTGGTTGAGACAAACTTAAGTTAGAGAACGGAAATGAAAAATTCAGCAATTTTTCCATTTGTAAAGGGGCATAACTCTAGAACAGTAAACGTGACACCACCAATATTCAAACTTGGTCTGTATTTTGTGGTAATAAGCATTGTGTACAAGTTTCATAATATTTGGTTCAGGCTAACTTAAGTTAGAGAATGGGAACACATTCAGCAATTTTTCCATTTGTAAAGGGGCATAACTCTAGAACGGTTAAAGTGACGTCACCAAAATTCAAACTTGATCTGTGTTTTCTGGTAATAAGCATTTTGTATAAGTTTCATAACATTTGGTTGAGGCAAACTAAAGTGAGAGAACGGAAACCAACTTTAAGACGTACGGACGTACGTAAGGACGGACAAGGGTAAAATTGAAGAAAACACCAACACCAAGGAGTTTTATAGTAGTTTGTTAGTACTAAAATCCTTGTTAACACCAAATACCCTCATGTTCTTACTTGAAGTTTGACTGTCAACAAAGTTGCTTCCTCTTCCTACGAGGCAAGACCATCCTAAGAAGACAAATATCGTCTGATACTGCAAGACGTGCACTAATACTTTCTGAAATAACAAAGAAAAATGATGTGCTACTAAGTAACTTAATTGGGCTCCAAACATCGTTTAAATGAAAGTTTAATATTTTTCTGTCATTTGTAGGAGAAAGCTTTCGTATATGCAATGTTATTGATTTAAGATCCTTTCGATTGTGAAAATTTTGAGATCTGTCATTTCACAGTTATACTTCGACTTTATTTTATCCAAAGTATTTCTCATTATGACTAAAGTTGGCTAAATTGGAGCTATTCAAAACATTTTACACAATATTTTGATACTTAAATTTAAGTAAAGTTTACAACTGATGATTTTTAAGTTGTTGTTCTAAATCTAGACGTATGTGGTTCACATTGCCAAAATATAACCTATTTTTAGAGTGTCTGGTGCAAATTCTTAGACTAGTTTTTTACTTAATGCATATCTTACAACTTGTGAATGACATCTGATTCATAATTAACATTTCAAGTTTGTTCTGTTTTAGTTACAAGTGACAATACTGGGCAAACGAATGGGATAACATGCATATAAATGTTAATAAACATCATTAGTACTCTATAAGCTCAACGATGTTGTGGTAAAATCTCAGATAGACATTGGCTGTTGAGGTAAATATAAAAAGGAGCTGTGGTATACCAACAGCCGATGTTATCATTTTATTTTACTTTTATTGTTATTCTCATAAGTTGTAATTACACATTCACTTAAATTTTGATATGTTTGTCATCTTAAACCGCTTACATGTATGTATATCCGATAGTTTATCTTTATATGTAGAAACTATTAAATAATTGTTAATACTTAGAAGACTAAAATATCTATATATTGAATAAACAGAGTTAATTGTAAAGTTGGAGATAAAAAATATAGTGGTAATAGTTAAAAAGATTATAATATCTGCACCAGAAACAAGAACACTTTTATTTAATAAGACTCCAAAATTCAAACTACAAACTTATTAAAGATCTTCATATTCATCAATTAGAGACGTCCTTGACTTAACAGTTAACGGTCATATATGCTTTTGTAAGGCGATTGGACATGATTCAAATTGGATTATCTCCCATGTACCGAGGAAAATCTCACAATCATTATTGATGTCATCCATTATAGGTAAGATATTTTTGAAGTAAACTTATTTTTTTATGGACATCTCTATTGCAACTGTTTACTTTCTAGTCATTTCCTAACTAATCGTTTTATTTAATAATTGAAAGTTTCTATTTGTAAGTTTATTTGGATGTGATACATGTAGCAAGAAATAAAGAACATTTTGTATGAAGCTTAAATTTATACTAAAAATGTGCACACAATCAACGCTTTTACAATCCTATAAAACTATAATTTAAAGCAATCAATTCTTATAATTACTTATATTTATCTTTTAGTGTTTTTTTCCTCATGTGATGTTGTCATTGGAAGCATGTACAGTCATGAATGTTGCATTTCATTGGGAAATAAAATATCATTTTAAAATGCCTCTGAATTGTATTCGTGTATTTACACTCAGTGCTCAAAGTCTCCTTATAAATTCAGGTAACATCTAGTTTTAGATATGTTCACTATGGTCATGTCCTTACAGGAGACCTCAACATCGTCGAAGACCGTGAGGTCATAACTTTTCTTAAGAAAGGACCGAAATATCGTCCTCCATCTAAAATAGATTGGAAACAGTGTCGTCAGACCATTAAAGACTGTCTACTGTAAAAATTGGTGTAAACGTGAAAAATCTGATAAAAATCTCTAGACAGTTATTTGAATAAAATTATGAATACTGTTAATATTCGTATATCTCATTTTGAAAACAATTCTGAAATTAGTAATAGGGTCCATGATATTTCCATTTCTAGAATAAAAAATAAACTCCAAGTACTCGCAAAGCGGTTTGTGTTCGTACCGGAAGACAAAGCAGCAAATAATGTAGTGGTGGTGTGACGCATATACTAAACGGAAGTTCTCCAAAACGAAATTACAAATTCATCTACATTCAGGTCCGTACGCTCCACAGAGAGTCAAATTGTAAACAAGCATATCACTGCCACTACCCAGCTTAAAGCCTCTTCCGAACATTTGAAAGTCCCTACTATGTACTGCTTACCTAAATTGCACAAAAAAACATTTAGATTCCGTTTCATCTTCGCATCTAGTAAGTGATCTACTACCAATATATCAGTGCTTCTAACTACCTCCCTTCCTACTATCAAAGAACTTGTTACTAACTTTAGTAATAAAGCTTATGAAAATAATGGTATTAATTATTTTTGGAGTGTTAAAAATTCTTTAGAGGCTTTAGATAAAATACATGCTTTTGATGGTCCTTTTAATTCTGTTGACAGTTACGATTTTTCTACTCTCTATACAACACTTCCACACAAGAAAAAGTTTTCATATTTAATTAAATGGTCTTTTGAAAAATCTCATTACAAATTTATTTGCTGTAACTCGTTTAAAGCCTTTTTCTGTAACGAAAAAGGAAAGTATGCTAGATACACTAACTGGAAATGTGAAGATATGATTGAAGCTTTAAATTTTCTCCTGGACAACATATATGTACGTTTCGGCGATAAAGTGTATCGACAAGTAGTAGGTATTCCTATGGGCACTATCTGCGCCCCTTTAATAGCAGATTTATTCCTGTATTGCTATGAATCTCAGTTTATGACCAAACTCAGTAAAGACACGTCATTGTTACATTTGGTTGATACATTCAACAATACATTCCGTTATCTAGATGATATTTTTTCGTTAAATAATCCAGAGTTCTCTAAATATACTACCGAAATTTACCCAAAAGAACTTACTTTAACTAAATCTAACATAAACAACAGTAGTTGTCCTTTTCTAGATTTGGACATTTCAATCTCTAAAGGAAAACTCCATACTACAATTTACGACAAAAGAGACGACTTTTCATTCCCTATTGTTAATTTTCCTTTTTTAGACGGCGATGTTCCTTTGGCTCCATCATACGGTGTTTATATATCCCAACTCGTTCGTTATGCCCGTTTGTGTAGTGATATCATAGATTTTAACGAACGTAATCAATGCATCACTGGTAAATTATTAAGTCAGGGATTTCGTTACCATAAATTACGCAAAACTTTTACTAAATTCTTTCATAGGTACAAATATTTGATTAGTAAATTTGGCTGTAAAAATGAGTTATTTCCCTTTGTACAGCATGGGAAAGGGCTATAACTGAACAACGAGAAAAGCTAAAATCGTGAAAATTGAACTTCACCTTTATTTAGTCACAGGAAACAACATATCTAAATTTGAAAAATGAACGGACACTGTTTGGCAAAAGCCCGCCGTACATCCCCAAATCAATCACCGATGTTTACTTCGAAAATCCGGTTAAAAAGTATTTATTACATTTAATTCTAATCATGCTAATAGATGATTGACTGATTTTTATTTGCTCGACATCAAGGAGCAAACTATTAATTATATTAGAAAAAAAGATGTTCGAAAAAATTTAAATGTTTTGAGCGTGCATCAAACATATATTTATGGTAATAAGCCATTGAGAATTTTTAAATTAAAAAGTCATTTAAATGTATAAAAAAAATAGTATTAGAATTAAATTTTTATATAATATGAATCTGTTAATATTCGAACTATTACCATGCTTACATGTAATATAAAAAAAAAGGATTTTTCTTAATTTAAAAAAGGGAATAAATTTCCCAACGTCTTGCCATATATATTATATACATATATATGTATAATTAGTTGAATTGTGTATGATGATATTATGTACACTAAAGATTTTTTTTTTTCAGTAAAAAATCATATATATAAACCTTAAATATAATAATATGTTTTTTGTTCTTGTTTTTGTTTTTCATGAAACTGTACTTTAAATTAGATTTGTTTGCCCTGGAACGATTTTCCTTGGTAATGATTTGTTTGGTTATCATATATATATATAGAAAAAAGAGGGCAAAATGGCGGCATGGTAATTAACATTGATAACAACATTTCATCATCTTTTCCGCATATTGTTGGCCAAATATTTGAATATATCAATAAAGTGAAACATATTTATTTATTTTACAATACTCCGGTCTTATGGTCACTAATTAAACTGCTAACCACGATTATCATAAACTTTCTTTTTGAATCATTTCCTGTATAAGGGACTTATCATTTTTTATCTGGGAGGGGGGCTGGTCAAAATGCAGGGGGCATCAAGTTTTTTTCTGTATGTGGAAAAGGGGGGTTCAAATTTTTTATAAATTCAAAGTGGGGGGATCAATATTTTTTGCACATGGAAATTAGTAGTTCATATACTTCAAAACAGTCAAATCGAAAATATATCTTTAACACCATTCATATACAATTAAGTAAGACATCACAAGACTTTGGTGATGTAGGAAGCTGCCATTTTGTGTCATTTTGTCCCATATAAAATGCATAGGTGCTTCATAATCCGAATTATTCAGTAGTTATATTTCACTCACTTCGATCACTAAATTGACAAGCATTACTGCCAAGTTTTGTTATAATCAGCTTAATAGTTTGAGAGAAAATAAGTATAAATTAAAACGAAATCTGCATGCAGCGATTTGTGCAAAATTTTGTCCAAAAATACAAATCACGCCGCATCATGAAAGAATATAGTGTAGAGCAATATCTCTTCCAATAAATGATTAAATATTGCATACAAACAGTTGAATATTGATACAAAAGATGATTCTGAGATGATGAACAACTCTTATGTATCTTTTTGTTTTCATTACAAGATCCCTTTGACTCCATTTATACCTCACACTCCCTCAAAATTTGTACTTTTTAGGCTAATAAATCTAAATTTTGAGGTTACTATCACACATTTATGAATGAAATGTGACAATAAATGAGTAATTGAATTGTTCAAGCTGAAATGAACTATCGATATAAAAGTTTAGCGACTCAATGGAGGTTTCAATAAGGCCTTAAGTTTAAGCAGCGTTCAAGAGAGGGACATATAATAGACCCCTCTTAGTAAAT